TCAAATAATAAATACCAATACAGCTTAAGAAATATTATGAGCTGAATGATAATGGAAACACAAGATTTTAAAAATTAATAAGATACATACAGCATTGGATTAGTAGAAAATATACAGCAAATTATTATATTAGAAAATAAGATTTACATCTTTATCACCTTCATTTATATCTTCTTCAATCACTTAAGTTTTCATTTCAACTAAATAGAAAAAGAACAATTAAAATTCAAAGTAAGTAGAAAGAAAGAAATAATAAACATAATATCAGAAGTCAATGAAATAGAAAGCAATGAGGAAATTAATGAAGCTAAAATATGATTCTTTGAAAGGATTCATGAAGTACTTCTATTTAGTTATTTTTTAGTTGGCAAATAATAATTGTGTATATGTATGTTTGTGGGGTACAATGTGGTGTTTTGATTTATGCATTGTGGAAACAGTAAATCAAGCTAATTAACATATCCATCACCTAACACCTTATCATTGTTTTATGGTGAGAACATAAAAAATCTACTCTTTCAGCAACTTTGAAATATACAATACATTAGTATTAATCTGAGGAACATCAAGCCAGATTGATGGGGGAAGCATGAGATAAAACACAAATTACCAACATCTGGAATTAAATAGTGAGAATATATAGACACTACAGATACTAAAATTCATGATAAGGATTATTACGAACCACTTTATTTCAGTATTTTTGCAACTTAGGTGAAGTGAACAAACTCCTTGAAAAATGCAACTTTCACACAAAATGAAATAGAACAACTGAATAGCTTTGTGGGGTTTCTATATGTAGAGGTAAGCAATTTGATATTTTTTAATATTTGATGTAGAGGTAAGCAAATATATATATATTTGTGTGTGTGGGCGTGTGTGTATGTGTGTTTGAAACGGAGTCTCACTCTCATCCAAGCTAGAGTGCAATGGTATGATCTCGACTCACTGCAACCTCCACCTTCCAGGTTTCACCAATTTTCATGCCTCAGCCTCCCGAAAAGCTAGGACTACAGGTGTTTGCCACTATGCCCAGCTATTTTTTGTATTTTTAGTGGAGACAAGGCTTCAGCATATTAGCCAGGCTGTTCTGAAACTCTGCCCTTAAGTGATCTGCCTGCCTCGCCTCCCAAAATGCTGGGATTACAGGCTTGAGCCACCATGCCCAGACTTTTTTTTCCTAGTTAAAAGCAAAACACAACTTTTTCACATGGGAGACTCCTGGAAGAGATGGCCTCACTGGACTCCATCAAACATTTAAGGAAGAAATAACACTAATCTAATAGAATCTCATGAAATAAAGAGGAAACATTTCTCAATTTAATTCATGAACAGTATTACTCCATTCTCACACTGTTATAAAGAAATACCTGATACTGGATAATTTATAAAGGAAGGAGGTGTAATTGAGTCCCAGTTCCACATGGCTAGGGGAGGCCTCAGGAAACTTACAATAATGGTGGAAGGGGAAGCAGGCACTTCTTACAATGGGGGCCAGTGAGAGACAGCGTGTGAAGGAGGAACTGTCACACACTTACAAAACCATTAGATTTCCCAAGAACTCACTCACTATCACAAGAACAGGATAGGGGAAACTGCCCCCATGATCCAATCACCTCCCACCAGGTCCCTCCCCTAACATGTGGGGATTTGGGGATTACAATTTGAGATGAAGTTTGGGTGGGACACAAAGCCAAGCCATATCGTGAACCCAGTATACAACTTGATACCAAAACCTAGCTAGGGCATTAGAAGAAAGGAAAATTACAGGCAATATTTCTCATCAACATAGAGGAGGGAAAAAATCCATTTGCTAATCCTGTCAACTAATTGAATAAAGCAATTTATGTAAAGGATAATGTAGAGTGACCAAGTCATTCAAGATGATTGATCGTACTGTAGGGTCCCCCAGATCACCCCCCACTTCCTTCTTTGCCTTGGGAAACAGAGTGCCTTGATCATCCCGTGGCCCAGCCAGCTGTGTGTTCCCCCTGCAGCTTGAACCCGAGCCAGGCCTTGAACATTCCCAGGCACTGTTAAAGTTACTTAGGTTGTTGCCCAAAACAGTGAAAAATCAACCTTGTTACTGCGTGTATATACTAGCCCTGGCCCTGAGCCAAATTTCTTAAAGCCGCATGTAAACTCTTATAACCTGATGCACAAATGTTAAAAGCCACAAGACAACTGCTATAGCAGAAATGCATGCGAAGTGCTCTGGGAGGAGCCCCATCTCCACATGAGGCAGCTGAACGATGTTTCAGCTAAGTCTTGACATGTGAGTTCATCCAGGAAAGGAATGGCAGAAGAGCATTTGACCAAGAAAACAGTACCTACAAAGCTTGAAGGATGGCTGGAGCTTAGGGTTTGTGAAAGAGAGCATCACGAAGTGAGCCCAGAAAGGTAAATGGGCACTAGGTTAGAGAAGGTCATATTTGCCAAGGTAGAAAGCTTGCACTCCATAAGTGGAGGGCGACGAAAAGCAGGTGTGTATTTTAGGAAAATGATTCTGGCAGCCTAGGTGGATGTTGTAAGATAAGAGTAGAGTATTATACAAAATAAACTACAGTGTTTTTGTTTGTTTTTGTTGTTTTCTGTTTTTTTGTTTTTTTGTGTTTTTTTTTTTCATCATGGCCTTTCATGACATCTATTTCTTTTTCTGTATTCCCAATGTTCCTTTCTTCTGATGATGGTGCACTATAGAAATTGTCACGGGTGATTAGCGACTATCTGGGGCTGGTGGCATGGGGTAAGAAGAATTTATCAACATAGTTGTAGGTAAAGAAAGGCAGATTTATTAGAGAAAGTATGAAAATACATTGCAAGGAATCAATGGGCAGCATAGCAGAGAAGGGGCTGTCTGCAAGGAGAAAAAGGTGTGCTGGAGATTTTACAGCATGGTGCTTGTGCTGTGTGCTGAAGAGGGTTTGTGCAGTACTGATAACACTAAGGTTGCAGTGAGCTAAGTTGCATTTTTCTATCAGCTGAAAGTCTGGTGATAGCTGGGTGCAGAAATATTGTGCAGTAGAGCTATGTGTCCTGGACCACGAAGAAGGTGAGTCGTAGCTTATCTTCTTTTTTTTTTTTTTTTTTTTTTTTTTGCTTTCCTCTGGTCCCGCCAGCCTGACTTCTCTTCCCTAAAGAGGACTCCACAGAAATGAATTCTGGGTGATTTCCATATTCTACGATGCAGACTGTAGCTATAGATCATTATTATACAACACTACCTAATTAATCAAGAACAAAACAAATAGTCCTACCCTGCAGGACACTAACTAGTAACCAATACTTTACAATTAGAAATTAGTTCCAGACAAAAGGAAATATTTCTTATTTTACCTGCAGTTACATGACTGCACTTTAGCTAACTGGAACCTGTGATGGACAACCAAAGCGTGGGTTTTCTTCAAAGATATTTTTCTTTTGACTCATTAGGTTACTGTGAAAAGATAATTTTCTTTCAGAGATTTGTAATTTTTCAGAAGTGTTTTTGAATCCTTGAACTCATATTCATTGCAGAGCAGTGTCAATATACCATGAGACACTCTAAGAACTTTTTGCATAAGTGTCGATGTGTAAAGAGAATCACTAAATTCAAACCCAACTCTGCCCAGGGAGTAATAAATCCTCAGAGACTATTTTAACTCACTTACATATGTTCTTCTGGTTTGGTTTCTATTATCAGCTAGCTAGGAAGTAGCACTCAGGATTAGGGGAAAAAATAAGTTTATTCTGAACCAAAAATTTTTTAACTTTTTCAAATTACTGTGTTTTCTTTTCCTATAATGTTCTTAAAAATTCTACAGGCAATTTTCTCTATGCACCTTTGAAAATGAAATAAACAGAACGACTAAAACCAAGCAAAGTGAAACAGATTATGCTTCATAATGGAGCTGAAATCCAAGACAGAATCCAAAAAAGTTACACATCTCAAGTTCCTATCTGTCAGATTTGGCACCAGAGATTTCATCCAGTGGAATAACTGATTTGGAACCTAAATAAAATTTTATTTTGCAAGTTCCAGCATTTTTAATTTTCATGAAATCCAGGCCTTCATAAATAAATAAATAGGAGAAAACAGGCTCTACATCTCAGAAGAAAAGACTCCTGTGGGTTCCTTGTCCCTACTCTGAAGTATAATCATTGAGGAATTCCCAAGGACTAAAAGGTTATAACTTACAATTTATATTCCACTGTCATTAGAAATACAGGTAAAATAGTATAACTTATCTAACAACAAGAAATGAGAAATGGGGAAAAGGCAAGTTTCAGAAAATCAAAGATCATAATTCCAGCTCTAACCAATTTATATTTTAGCCTGCAGAAAAACAAGTTATTCCTATGTGAAGTGACTTTTCCATTTGTACGCAGGTAGACACGGTTTGTACACACACACACAAACACACACGCACACATTAAGCCCAATATATAGCTCACTCCTCCAGTCTTGTCAGCACATACTCTGAGAACACAAAAAGCATTGAAAGATTGCTAATCACACTGACCATTTTTATGGTGGTGGCGCAAACAAATAAATGTCATTTTATGAGCTGCAATACTAATTTTAAAAGGAGACCCAAGCAATCAATGCACAGAATCAAAATCTGTGGACATATTATTTTCCTGATTTGTAATGAGTTGTATCTATAAATATTGATTGGCCAAATTTTCTCTTTCTTTTCTTATTCTGTCAAAAGGCCAATGTTTCCTATGACAATTTTCTGAAATAAGTGTTTTGTCTGGCACATGGAAATGGTGTGGGTCCTGCTTCGGTAACCTAAAGTTATCCCTCTTTTATGAGGCATAAAACTCTTCCTCAGTAAATAAACAACTCTAATGAGATGTTTGTATGAAAACTGGCACCATCAGTGATAAAGAAAACATCCGGTGCAGTCTGTAAACACCCGTTTTGGGGCATTATAAAACTCTCAGGAGGGAAGGAGAGTTTTGGAGTCAAGGCAACTGAAGTTTTGCAGCCAGCCTCTGTCTTTGCTTCTGGAAGGATGACTTCTGACTGCTCCTCCACGCACTGCTCTCCTGAATCCTGTACCACGGCCTCCGGTTGTGCACCTGCCTCAAGCTGTTCCATAGAAACAGCTTGTCTCCCCGGTGCCTGTGCTACATCCCAATGTCAGACTCCAAGCTTCCTATCCAGGTCTCGCGGGCTGACTGGTTGCCTCCTGCCATGCTACTTTACTGGGAATTGTAACAGTCCCTGCTTTGTGGGGAACTGTGCCTGGTGTGAGGATGGGGTGTTCACTAGCAATGAGAAGGAGACGATGCAGTTCCTGAATGACAGACTTGCCAACTATCTGGAGAAGGTGCGCAGCCTGGAGGAGACCAATGCAGAGCTGGAATCCAGGATCCAAGAACAATGTGAACAGGATATCCCAATGGTGTGCCCGGATTATCAGTGTTACTTCAACACCATTGAAGATCTCCAACAAAAGGTGTGTGTCCTGTTGCCCTAGTGCTCCACCTTCCGGATCTATGACTTGCTTTATCTTTCTACCAGAAGGGACTGTTTTACAGAAGGCAACCAAGGGAAAGGGGAATTCCAGGAGTTAATGGTACATAGGGGAGACCACTGGACTGAAAGTCAGAAAACCTCAGCACCAGCCCCAGAACTACCCCTGATAACTGAGTGACTATAATAAAGTAACTTGCCCTTAGGCTTTTCCTTCATCATCTATAGAATGCAGAAAAACTGTATTACATCCAAAATCGCTTTTGTATTTGACACTGAACATTTATATTATCCGAACACAAATCGTCAAATGCCATCTTTTTAACCACCTAGTAATCATTTTCTTGTCTCCTTGATGAATTTCTATTATTATGGGAGAGGATATAGTCATAATACGAACTACTGATGGAGAAAATGTTCATGGTGTTCAACTGCCTAGGGATGTTGCAAAGTGTCTTATGTTATTAAAAAACTAAACCTTTTTATTTCTCTATTTTGCTTCTAAATTGGCACTGCTTTTTTCTTCATGAAGCGACAAGGTCAATAAGAAAAGCAGGCTGAGGATGATTTTCTACTTTCTTATAAAGACTTTCAAAAGATAACTAATGGCGTAGCTGTTGGATAGAAGTTTATTTAGGTTTCTCTCAAAGAACCGTTTGTCACATAATGGCTTGCTTCCCAGATCTTATGCACGAAAGCAGAGAATTCTAGACTTGCTGTACAGCTTGACAACTGCAAACTGGCCACTGATGACTTTAAGTCAAAGTAAGTTTAATTTAATTTAATTTACTTGTTTTGAGGAGTTTCACTCTTGTCGCCCAGGCTAGAGTGCAATGGCGCTATCTCGGCTCACTGCAACCTCTGCTTCCTGGGTTCAAGCGATTCTCCTGCCTCAGCCTCCTGAGTAGCCGGGATTACAGGCAGGCGTACGCCGCCACCCACACCCAGCTAATTTTTGTATTTTCAGTAGAGATGGGGTTTCACCATGTGGACCAGGCTGGTTTTGAACTCCTGACCTCAGGGGATCCGCCTGCCTCGGCCTCCCAAAGTGCTGGGATTACAGGCATGAGCCACCACGCCCCGCCTTAATTTTAATTTGAAAATAATTTATGGCGCTCTCTCTCTCTCTCTCTTAATCTCTCTCTCTCTCACACACACACACACAAGTATTCTCTATATAATATTTTAAAGTCAAGAATGTTTTAAAAGCTTGAATTTATCATTACTTAGGAATTAAGATAAATTATGCACGTGGCTTCCTGAAGTCCATGTGTCGATCCTCCACGTATCCCCACACTTTGCACAGCGTTCAGCAAAGTAAGCATTGGATTTCTCTTTTGCCGTGAAAGGTACGAGAGTGAACTGTCCTTTCGCCAGCTATTAGAGGCAGACATCAGTGGCCTGCATGGGATCCTGGATGAGCTGACCCTGTGCAAATCTGATCTGGAGGCCCATGTGGAGTCTCTGAAGGAAGATCTCCTTTGCCTTAAGAAAAACCATGAAGAGGTAAGGAAAGTGGCAATGCCACTGAAGGACTCCGAGAGTAACGTACTTAACACTGACAGATGATCTGTTGATGTTTGTAAATCAAATTTGGGCGGATGTTGCTTAAGCTGGAATAAACCTACTCCAGGCAGGGCCAAGCGCGGTGGCTCATGCCTGTAATCCGAGCACTTTGGGAGGCCGAGGCAGGTGGATCACAAGGTCAGGAGTTCGAGACCAGCCTGGCCAATATGATGAAACCCCATCTCTACTAAAAATACAAAAATTAGCTGGGCATGGTGGCGGGTGCCTGTAGTCCCAGCTACTCGGGAGGCTGAGGCAGGAGAATAGCTTGAACCCAGGAGGCGGAGGTTGCAGTGAGCCGAGATCTCACCACTGCATTCCAACCTGGGCAACAGAGCGAGACTCCATCTCAAAAAACAAACAAACAAAAAAGCGAAAAACTACTCGAGGCATTATTACTACTCAACCTGATCATTCCAGCGTGTCTCTGAATTAACATGTGAAATAGCCCCTAGACAGTGCCAGACAAAGGAACCAAACTCTTCTCCTGCCCTTGCCTTTGTGGAGGAGGTGAGTAACTTTACAAATGGCTTCCTTTGGAGGCTTTATACCACCCCTAGCTCCAATCCACAGGGTATGAAAATCAGTCTGAGAAACAGACTGTGAAGTCCGTTTCAAAAAAGGGATAAGGACTCATGCACTATCTGGACCAGTGTTTTTAAATATTCCGCATTTATAAACTTTTTAAAGTCATAAAATATAAAGTGATTGATACATCGATAAAGCTAGAAAATGAAAAGCTGAATGATGTAACAAAGTACATTTGCTCTTTGAATATTTGTTGATGACAATCATAGCTAACATTTATTGACACCTTACTATGTGTCATAATTAACTTTTATAAGTTAATTATGTGTAGATTAACTCTTCTAGATCTCACAATAACTTTCTGGAAAAATGTCCAATTATTATGTCCATTTTACAGACGAAGAAATTGAGGCCCTTCTAAGTGGTGAAAAGAGATTCAGCCCAGACAACCTGAATCAAAATCTCACACTTTTACCTACTACTCCACAAAACAGAAGTAGAATGCCATTGGATATCAAATGGATTTTTCCCCATCATTCTGTGACATTCTTTATGCCATCCCACTTTCAGGAAGTCAACTTGCTTCGTGGACAGCTTGGCGACCGCCTCAATGTGGAGCTGGACACTGCCCCCACCCTTGACCTCAACAGGGTCCTGGATGAGATGCGCTGTCAGTATGAAACGGTGCTTGCCAACAACCGCAGAGAAGCTGAAGAGTGGTTCGCTGTTCAGGTCAGCACCCAGATTGAGAAAACGGCAAGGTTACAGACTTCTGCCTTTTGTGAATTCTCTAATGGTGCCTGTGTTTCAGACAGAAGAGCTGAATCAGCAGCAACTGTCCAGTGCGGAGCAGCTGCAGGGCTGCCAGACGGAGATCTTGGAACTGAAACGCACAGCCAATGCTCTGGAAATTGAGCTCCAAGCACAGCAAAGCCTGGTGCGTGAGGCAAAGGCAGTGTCCGTTATGTCACTGATAAGTCAGGCTCTGAGATGTTAAGCCCTCTTCCATATCCAGGGATCAAATTTCCTTGCCTTTCCCAAGTACTGCCGTTTACCCAGTATTAATAGAAGCAGAAGTGACAGGTCCACAGCTTGTGTTGTCCCTCTAAGATGCCTTACCTTCACTCCTGGGCTTGAGTCTGATGCTGCAGCAGCCTCCAGAGACAGGGAGGGAGAAGCAGAGCGAGAGAGAAACCTCCAGGCCATGGTCACTTAAGCATTCCAGCAGGTTTTAATTCTCATTTGATTCAGGCCAGTTTTCCAGGCTCACTGTTATATCTAAAACAAAGAATCATTTTCAAACATTTCATCCTACAGTTTCCCTACAGGATCTACACTTCAACCTGATCCTTCACTGTACCCCACCCCACTCAAGCAACAAGAACACCATGCGTCCAAGATGACATGAACCAGTTCTGGTCAAGCACCACTGTGTGCATGTCATTAGGTCCTGCGGAGAATACCTAGGAGAACAATAGCTGAGCATTCATCCAGTGAGAGGCACGATGCTCATTTAAGCCTCACAGTAACTTCACGGGATAGATACCTTTACCCCATGACACAGATAAGGAAAACTGAGACTCAGATTAAGTAACCTGCAAAGGATGCAATTCTGAGAGGCAAACTTGGAAGCTGAGTTCAGCCAGTTAAATCCCAGAACCTCTTCTCTCTCTCTTTTTAAATTTATTTTTATTGATATATAATATTTGTAAGTATTTATGGAGTAGATGTGATCTTTTGTAACATGCATAGAATGTGTAACGATCAAGTCAGGATATTTACAGCATCCATCACCTCAAGTATTTATCATTTCTATGTGTTGGGAGCATTTCAAGCCCTCTCTTCTAGCTATTTTGAAATGCATAGTGTACTGTTGTTAACTGTAGTCACCCTTCTCTGCTGTCCAACATGAAAACGTACTCCTTCTGTCTAGCTGTATGTTTGCACCCATTAACCAACCTCTCTTCATCCCCTTACCACACATGCCCTTCCCAGCCTCTGGTATCCAGAGCCTCTTCTCCTAACAGCACTATACTACCCCTCCCTGCCAAGAGCCCAAACTCAATCTTTCCTCTTATATGCTGTTGATAGTCCTTAAGCTTCACAAATATGTCATGTATTGCTGTAGTCATAGTGGTAGTAGTGATAGCTGACATGTAGAACAATGGCAGTACAGCTGGCACTGTTCTAAATGCTTTACACATATTAACTCTTAATCATCACAACCCTCTAATGAGACAAATACTTTGCATATAGAGAATAAAACTGAGACTCACAAAAGCTAAATAATTTGCCAGTGGTCACATAACTAGAGAAGGGTAAGCAAGGATTTGAACATAGGCACTCTGGCCCGAGAGACTGCACTTCATGGTCCTTTGGACAATGTTTCCTCCTGCAGACAGAATCTCTGGAATGCACCGTGGCAGAAACCGAGGCCCAGTACAGCTCCCAGCTGGCCCAGATTCAGTGCCTGATCGATAACGTGGAGAACCAGCTGGCCGAGATCCGCTGCGACCTGGAGCGACAGAACCAGGAGTACCAGGTGCTCCTGGACGTGAAGGCCCGGCTGGAGGGTGAGATCAACACGTATCGGGGCCTGCTGGACAGTGAGGACAGCAGGCAAGCTCCACAGTTACTCATGATATCCCCCAGAGTCACAAAGAGGCTGATGTAAAAGAATCCTGTTTCCCCAAGGTCTGGACAAGTTCAAACCTCCCCAATGTGTTCAGGGATCTTCTTAAAAGAGGGCTGAACAGTGGCTGAGGTTAAGCACATGACACTAGAGATATTTTTAAAATATTATAAAGGCAGATTAATTATTAGTGTAACATTTCATATTGGCATCTCCCTTTGTTCCTCTTTTCCACTAAAGGAAAATCAGGAATAGGCCTGAGATAACATTTGCAAAATCAAGAAAAAATACAAAATACTATTCAACTGCCACTGCTACAGTGAGCATGAAGTGGCAATTCTGGGTGCGGAGAAGAAACAGGCTTCAGTCAATGCTATTGTGCAGAGTTTTTTTGTCTGAGTTTCCATTTTATCAAGATTCCCTTACTAAGCTTGGTTTAAAATCAATTTTTCCCCAGGCTTTCCTGTAACCCATGTTCGACCACATGCACCTCGAGCAACACTTGTGAGCCATGCTCAGCCTATGTCATCTGCACGGTTGAAAACTGCTGTTTGTGAATGTTAAGGACAGCAGGTAGAGGAATCAAAGCCAGCAGCATCCTAGAAAGGAGATGGGGCTTCAACCAGGGACGTCCAAACAGGAATCACAAATCCAGGGGGCGCTCATATCCTGGAATTGCCCTCCAGGCATCCTCAGTCTTTCTGCTTTACTATTTCCTCTCCTTCCGGCTTATTTGTGGTACGCTGGGAGCCCATAAAGCGTTCTTGCTCATCTCCAAATAAAACAGGTTTTACTCCTTTCGCATGGTAAATATAGCTCTATGACTGATTACTGTTGATAGAATATTCATTTTATGGCAAGAGAATCATCTAAACCCATAACCATAGTTTCAACATACATAAACCCAGGTTGAAAATATTTTTTAACTCCTCAAATACAAACACATTAATGAACCCATGCAAAATGTCTTATATCTTAGAAAACAGTTGTGTGTATCTTTCTGAGAAAAAAATTAGGAATAGAATAATAAAATGTATTTTTTGATTATAAAAGTACTAGATTCTCTTTTCTGTAATTTGGCTCATTAAAAGGGAAAAGGTCACTTATGATTTCATCTTGCAAACAGCCATAGTCAATATTTTGGGGTACTTTCTTCTGGTTTTCTTTCTTATGATAGATTTTTCCACACAGCTATAATCATACTAACATATGCACACACTTGTGTAATCTTTCTTTCATTTATTTCATCTAAGCATTTTTAATTCTAATAAAAACATAAGATTGTATTGTAGCCATCGTTTTTTTTTTTTTGTTGATTTTGTTTTTTAATTTGAGACAAAGTCTCCCTGTGTCGCCCAGGCTGGAGTGCAGTCGCGCTATCTTGGCTCACTGCAACCTCCACCTCCCGGGTTCAAGCGATTCTCCTGCCTCAGCCTCCCGAGTAGCTGGGACTACAGGTGCATGCCACCACGCCAGGCTAATTTTTTGTATTTTTTTTTTTTTTTTAGTAGAGACAGGGTTTCACCATGTTAGCCAGAATGGTCTCGATCTCCTGACCTTGTGATCCGCCCACCTCAGCCTCCCAAAGTGCTGGGATTACAGGCATGAGCCACCACACCCAGCCTGTAGCCATCATTTTACTGGTTGCATAATGTACCATAAGGTGCATTGATCTGTTATTGGACATTTAGGTAATAAGAATAATTATTCTCATACATTTAAGAGACAAGGTAGAGAACTTCCAGAATGATTATATTTCCATATTCCTCCTCCTAAAAACCCTGGAAATTACATATTGAATAAACATAAGAAGACTCTGAAAGGTAGAAGAAGGAGCCAAACCACCTAAAGATATTGAGACCCCAGGAGTGACACTGTGGTGGGCTCCCTGGATTAACTCTTTATCTCATAAATCCCAGAGTGGGAGCTGGACAAACCAACAACCAGAAACACCAATAGGTGCAGACAAAACAAACAAACCAGAAGAGCTTGCTCTGCTTAAAGAACCAAAAAAGAGGCAGCCTAGAAAGGCAGAAAACCTTTAGACAGCAACCACTCGACTCAGCCAAACACCACCGAAAATATCATTTTGCCCACCCATATCCACACCAGGAAAGGCCAGGGAGGGAGTCCAGCCTTCTATCTTTCGCAGGCTGTAACAAGGCACTCAAACTTCCCCACTGGGGTGGAGTCAGGGAAGGGTAAGCGAGAGATCCAGGACTTTCATTCCTGCTAAGAGACATGGAAGCATCCCCGCCCCACCACCTTGGTGTCAGTGGAGACCACACGGGAAGCCTGGACTTAACTCTACAGGCTGCAGCGAGGCTCTTCTTTTCTCCTCTGGGGTTTAGTGTCACAGGAGGCCTACTGGACAGTCAGGACTCTCTCCCTCCTCCAGCAGTACCAAGGCCACCCCCCATGCAGTGTCAGCTGCATGGGAGCAATAACAAAATATTCTTGCCCCTCCTGGCCCGGGTGGTATCAGCAGAGGCCAGGTAAGGAGTCTAAAATCCTCCCTCCCAGCCGTGATGAGGGGGGCTTTCCCCTTGGGTGTCAATAGGGGCAAAGTGGAGAGAACCTCTATTTCCAATCCCACCTGGTAGGAATGAAGCAGCGTCCCCCTTCCCCTACCAAAACAGTGTCAGAGGAGACCTGCCAGAACAGAAGATTAAATAATATCCTGAATCTCATAACATAATGCCCCAATGTCCAGGTTTCAATCAACAATTACTCTTCATACCAAGGATCATAAAATCTCAACTTACATGAAAAAAGATGATCAACAAATTCCAACATCAAGAGAAAAAAGATGTTAGAATTAACGGACAAAGGTTTTTAACTTTTTATTTTTTATTTTTCTGGGTACATCGATGTATATATTTATGGGGTACATGAGATGATTTGATACAGGCATGCAATGCGTAATAATCACATCATGAAGAATGGGGTGTCCATCCCCTCAAGCATGCATCTTTGGTGTTACAAACATCCAGTTATACTCTTTTACTTATTGACAAGCATTTTTAAACAGTCATCACAAAAATGCTTCAATAAGCAATGCTTCAATAAACTCTTATAACAAATGCAAAAACAGAAAAGTCTCAGTGAAGAAGAAGATGGAAAGACTTCAGTGGAAATTTCAGAACTGAAACATACCATAGAACCAAAATAGAAACCTCAGTGCAGATGGGCTTAACAGCAGAATAGACAGGCCAGACAGGAAAACATCAGGGAATTTGAGGATACAATAATAGACATCATCTGACCCGAAAAACAGGAAAAAAAATAGTGTTAAAAAGATAGAGTCGGCCAGGTGCAGTGGCTTACACCTGTAATCCCAGCACTTTGGGAGGCCGAGACGGGCAGATCACGAGGTCAGGAGATCGAGACCATCCTGGCTAACACGGTGAAACCCCATCTCTACTAAAAAATACAAAAAACTAGCCAGGTGAGGTGGCGGGCGCCTGTAGTCCCAGCTACTTGGGAGGCTGAGGCAGGAGAATGGCGTGAACCCGGGAGGCGGAGCTTGCAGTGAGCTGAGATCCGGCCACTGCACTCCAGCCGGGGAGACAGAGCGAGACTCCGTCTCAAAAAAAAAAAAAAAAGAAAAAAGATAGAGTCTCAGGGAACTTTATGGCTATATCAAACGATCTAACATTCATGTCAGCGGAGTTCTGTAAGGGAGGAGAAAAAGTGAGGCCAAAAACATTTGAAGGAATAAACACTGAAAATTTTACAAATATGGCAAAAGACAAAAACCTACAGATTCCAGAAACCAAGCAAACTCCAAAAATTATAAACCCAAAGAAATCTACACCAGGAAATATCATATTCAAACTTTTGAATACTAAAGACAAAACAAATTATGAAAGCAGTGAGAGACAAATGACACCTTACCAATAGAAGAAAACAATTTAATTGATGGCAGGTCTGTCACCATAAACCATGGAAGCCAATATGAAGTAGGACGACAGTTTTCAAATGCTAAAAGAAAAAAAAAAAAAAAAAAAAAAAAAACTATCGGCCAGGCGCAGTGACTGACACCTGTAATCCCAGCACTTTGGGAGGCCAAGGAAGATGGATCAAAAGGTCAAGAGATCGAGACCATCCTGGCCAACATGGTGAAACCCTGTCTCTACCAAAAATACAAAAAATAGCTGGGCATGATGGCGGGCACCTGTAATCCCAGCTACTCGGGAGGCTGAGGCAGGAGAATCGCTTGAACCCAGGAGGTAGAGGTTGCAGTGAGCAGAGATCATGCCTCTGCACTCCAGCCTGGGTGACAGAGCAAGACAAAAAAAAGGAAGGCAGGAAGGAAGGCAGGCAGGCAGGCAGGCAGGAAGGAAGGAAGGAAGGAAGGGAGGAAGGAAGGAAGGGAAGGAGGGAGGGAAAGAAGGAAAGGAAAGAAAAAAGAAAGAAGGAAAAAGAAGGAAGGAAGGAAGGAAGGAAGGAAGGAAGGAAGGAAGGAAGGAAGGAAGGAAGGAAGGGAGGGAGGGAGGGAGGGAGGGAGGGAGGGAGGGAGGAAGAAACTGTCAACCCAAATTTATATACCCTTGGAAAATATCGTTCAGAAGATCAAAGAGAAATCAAGACCTTCTCAGATGAAAGAAACTTAAAAGATGTCACCAGCAAACCAACCTAAAATGACTAAAGAAAGTTATCTAAACACAAACGAAACTATAAAATAAGGAAATGTGGAAGATCAGACAGGAAAAAATATAATAAAAATTAATATATGATTAATTTAAATAAATTTCTTTCTCTTCCTGAGTTTTCTAAATTATGTTTCATGGTTGAGGCAAGAAGTATAACACTGTCTGATGTGGTTCTCAATATATGTGTAGAAAATATTTAAGACAATTATATTAAAATGGAGGCGAGTAATGGAATATAAACAAAGGCAAGTTTTCCACACTTCACTTAAACTGATAAAACATTAACACTAGTAGACTATGGTAAGTTATGCATACAGCATGAAACACCTAGAGGAACTATTTTAAAAGCTATGCCAATAGGTGTACTCAAAAACATAACAGATAAATCAAAATGGAACTCTAAAGCATATTCAAGTAACCCACAGAAAGGCAGGAAAAAGAATACAGAGAAAGAAACAAAAAAACAGAAGGAACAAACGGAATACAGTAAATAAAATACGGCTAAATATCGAAAATTACAGCAAATGGGAAGAGTCTAAAGACATCAAAAAAAAGACAGATCTTGGCAAAGTGAATAAAAAAGCATGACCCAACTATATGATACATTCTGCAAAAAGCTCACTTCACATATAACGATACAGGTAGGTCGAAAGTAAAAGGATGGAAGAGATGCACAATTGTTCATAGCAGTTTTGTTTATAATAGCCAAAAAATAGAGATCACAGAAATGTCCTAAAGATCTCAAGGCCAGCATGCCGAGTGAAAATGGGCAATTCAAAGGGCCATATATTTGATAATTCTATGTATATAACGTTCTTGAAATGACACAATTATAGAAATGGAGAACAAATTAGGCATAGGACAAAGGAAAGCTCTGTGGTGATTGAATAGTTCCATAGTTTGATTGCACCACCCATGTGAAGAAAATATATATATGGCTGGGTGCGGTGGCTCACACCTCTAACCCCAGCACTTTGGGAGGTTGAGGCAGGCGGATCATGAGGTCAGGAGTTCGAGACCAGCCTGGCCCACATGGTGAAACCCCCGTCTCTACTAAAAATACAAAAATTAGCCAGGCATAGTGGTGTACTCAGCTACTCAGCAGGCCGAGGCAGGAGAATCGC